ACCACCTCCAGGAAGCCTTCCCTGACATTTATCTCTTCTCTTTAAATGTCTCCTCATTCTTTATATTTACCTCATTCTCCCTTCTATCACAACATCCAGGATCACAAAATCAAGGAATTAGATAGCAAGGGATATCAGAAGTCATCTAATCCAACCAACTAATTTTAAAGGTCAGGCTTCCTGTGAGGGAGGTGATGAGTTCAGAGTGCAGATCACAAAATATAGCTAGCATTTACATAATGCTTTATGGCTTGTGAGATGCTTTACAAATATTATCTCATTTTATCCTCATAACACATATTTATCTCCCCCTACGATATGGTCATGTGCCAAGTTCTTTTCTAGATTCCTTTTTATTTTTAATTTAAACTTTATTTTTATTTTTAACTCTATATTCTCTCCCTCCCTCCACCATGCCCCTCACCTATTAAGAAGGCAAGAAATATGATACCCATTATATATGTGTGTGTGTACATATACACATACATATACATAGATACATACATACATACATACATAATGTAATAGGGCAACTAGGTGGTACACTGAATAAAGCACCAGGCCTAGAGTCAGAAAGACCTGAGTTCAAATCTGGCCTCAAACACTTACTAGCTGGGTGATCCTGATATGTCACTTAACCCTGTTTGCCTTAGTTTCCTAATCTGTAAAATAATCTGGAGAAGGAAATGGCAAACTACTCTAATATCTCTGCCAAGAAAATCCCAAAAAAGGTTCACAAAGAGTCAGACATGACTGCAAATGATTAAACAACATATATAGATATACAGTCATGCAAAATATGTATTTATATCAGCTATGTTCTGAAAAAAATCTAGATTCCTTTTATGTGCTGTCTTCCTCCATTAGAACATAAGCTTCTTGAGGGTATCCACTGTCTTTCTTTCTGCTTGTATTTCTAGCACTTTGCACAATGCCTGACACATATTAAAAATATAATAAATGCTTGTCGTCCTACTCAAAACAACACGGGGAGGTAGGTGGTATTATTATGTTCATTTTACAGGTGAGGAAAGCAAGGCAGAAAAAGATTAAGTGCTTTGTCTAAGAAGATCACACAGCTCAGAAGCATCTGAGGTAGAATTTGAACTCGGGTCTCCTGGTCCAGTGCTTTCTCCAACGTGCCTCCTAGACATATTTTTTGGACTTTGCCCGTGTAGGGAAGTTTGTCTTTTTTTTTTAATACAAGGGAATGGAGGTGGGATGAAAAGAAAATAAGATTTTAATTAAAAAAAAATAAAATTCAAAGCCAAAAACATTTTTGAGACCCAATGAGACTAAGTAACTTGCTTAAGGTTATACATGGAATACTGGTTCTGAATTATTGGGGTTCTTGTCCTTATCCCTCTTCTTCCCTATCTCAGACTGATCATAGCCATGTGACATTTATCTTTGCACTCCCAGGATGCAGCTCAGTGCTCAACACATAGATGCTAAATTTGTGTCTGTCACATAGAAATGAAGGCCTGATTTAAATACCGTCTCCTCTACTAAGTCCTCTCTAATTGCTTTGTGACCCCCCCCCCATTGGTGAGCTAGTAAATATAACAACTGGCTTTCTGGCTGGTAAATGTAACAGCTGGCTGTGGGGGTGGGGGTGGGGAGGGATGTACACACAACGTGCTTAAGGTTAATCTACATTATTGACATCCAGCACTTTCCTATGTCTAGACAAGTCTAGACAACAAACAAAACAATAATCCAAGCCCTGATTTATAGTGTTTCTTTCCAAGATGAAAATGCTTCTACTGAGTATTTAACAACTGGCTCTCCTGATCGATTACAGCTGGCTCCAGCACAACCAGTCTTAAGTACTGTCTCTCTCATCTGATTTTTTTTTATCATTCTTGGTACCCTCTTATGCATGTTTCTCATCCTTCTTCCTAAGATCAATCTTTTCACTGGTACAGTGTTGCAGCTTAGAGAAACCTCTTCTATTTTTAGGCCAATTCTTCCTCTGTCCAATAAACTGCCAATGGCCATGACCACTTTCTCCTATCTGTGTTCCCCTTTTGTTCTGACCCTTCTGTAAAGCCCCTAACTGATTGGTGCCAGTGACCACGGAGGTGGAAAACCATTCAAATTCATCTGGGTGGGACTTTCCCTTCCCTTCCCTAGAGATCTGCTCTGCTCCAAGGAAGCTGCCCTGACCCCAGGAGCTGCCCAAGGGGCCCCCAGCTCTAGGTGTCTCAGAAAGACTTCTTGATGTGACCACGTGCCATAGCCAAGGTCCTGGGGCCTGAGTCTCTTAGCAAGACCATAATGGACTTCTTCCTCCTGCAGTCTCCCAGAGACGATTGTACCTAAGGCTCCCTGGAGACATTTTCTATTGCATCCATTCTCTGTTTAGAGGCAGAGTGGACAAAGGGTCTCTGGCATGACTTGGGTATAAATCCTTCCTCTGACACTTATTACCTGTGTTATACATGGCAAAAATTTCATTTCTCAGCCTCAGTTTCCTTCTAAAAATGGAGGGGTTGGATTAGATAATTTTGGGGATCACTTCCAGCTCTGAATCTGTGATCTTTCCTCAGTCTTGCTTTGTGGGTATCAATCCCAGCCCCGGTCTGAAAGGGTGGTTGGAATACCCCAGTGCTCTTCCTTTGTTGTTACTTTCCACCCCCTCCCCACTACTCTTCTAGGTGTTTCCAATTTAGCCTTTCCTTAAACATATAAAATAAAAGAGCCTACTGTTTTCAATAGAGATCCAGCTTGGCATAGAGGAGAAAAAGCTGCCTTCAGATCTCAATGAAGGGGTGTGCTGGAACCAGCTCCGACCAGCTCCCAATTGTTCAGTTTTCAGTGAGTGTTTACATCTCAGAAATCCACAAATGTTATAAATCACGGCATGATTTATTGTTTTGTTGATTATCTTTTAAGAAATACTGGAGAAAATAATAAAGTAGATTTAAAAGATGTTATGGATATATTTTTAGAAAGCCAGTTATTTAACATTTAGCAGCACACACCCCTATCTATAAGGCTCTGGATTCAAGCCTGTGACTTATTCTGGAGGTGTGACCCTGGTCAAATCATTAGACCTCTCAATACCACCCCTCCCCACCACCAGGCTTCTCTCAAAGTCTGTGAACTGTAGGAATGGTGTTGATTTACTTTGAAACAGAGAGTATCCGAGAGAAAAAAAAAATATTGTTTTCAGCATTGACTGGCTCATCTGATTCTTCTGGAAAGCCCTTTTAGTTCCAGAAATGGAACTCCCTCTGACACGAGGGAGTGCCAATACAGAACACACAGCATCTTCCTAGTTGAAGGGGCTGAATTAGATGGCTTTCAGCTCTCAGTCTATCATCTTATGAATTGCCGTGGTCAGAAATCACAAGAAGGAGGCTACCTTTGGAGAGCTGAGCCTCTAGGATGGTCCTTGGAAAAAGACCTGTGGCCCAGGGTCTTCCAACCTGATCTTGGAATCTTCCCAGCTTGGCTTGTGCCTCCAGAAGCTTCACTTTCTAGTTCAAGGTCACCTCCCTAGGCACAATGAAGCATCAGTGGCAGAGGATGGAAGGCCAGGTTTCTCATGTTTAACTTCTAATCACTATAACTCACGAGTTCCAGTTAACTGCGTAAATACCTGTCTTATCTCTCCCTCTGCTGGACTGTGAGCTCTTGGAAGGCAGAGACAACTCTGTATCCAACTGTTGTCTTCTCTTCAGGGTAAATAAACATTTTGTATGGGGTTTTTTGTTTGCTTTTGGTGTACTCCCTAGACCTTAACACAACAGTGAGCACCCCAAATGGCCGAAAGCTCTGCTGGCCACACTAAATTGTTCTATTGCTGTCCTTTAGGCCCCCATCTGAGGGAGCAGTAGCACTTGGCTTCTCAACCCAGAGAGTCCAGCAACAATTAAGATTTGGGCTCTCAGGGCAGGTGGATCTTAAACAAAAGCACAATGATCTTCCGCATGCCTGGAATAAACATCCTCTCCTGAGGCCTGGACAGATATGGTGGGAGAATAGGCCAGAGGAAACCAGCCAAGCTGTGAGATTCCAGAGGCGTATCTACCCAAATGGCCCCTACGTACACGTGGTCATTCTTTCCCACTTCCCTTTCCATGGAAGGTCCTTGAGATCAGAGACTGTTTTACTTTAGGCAGGGAACTTGGCACATAGAAGGCATTTAATGTGTGATTGCTGACTGAATAACTGATTGATAACTACCATTAAGGAAATCTGGTGTGAGAGGGGCAATATGGAGCATCTGGAAGGCTGCTGGCTCTGGAGTGGGAAGACTCAAGGTCTACTCTCGGCTCTGAGAATTAAGTAGCGTAGGGACAAACCACTTAAACCTCTCTTTTCTCAATTTTCTCAGCTAAATAAGCATGGCAATATGTTTACTACCTACCTAACTCCAAGGGTTAGTGTTAGGAAAAGTACTTTGTAAATCTTTCAACACAACTGAAATGTGATGTTATCACAGGGCCTTGGGAAAACTAATGATAGCTAACCTTGGTGTATAATACATTGGCCTTTCCCAATGGGTTGGCCATATCTAGGATCTTATTTTAACCAGTTAACTGGTTAATGGAACCAGCCAGCAAATCAGTGGCTTAACTACCTAGAAGCTGGACCTGGCTGGGACTAGAAGCCAGATCCCTTGATTTCCAATCCATGTATCCTTTTTGTGAGAGTTGTTGCCTCCCTAAATTCTCTGATCATTAACTGTTTTTCTGGATGGAAAGGTACCTTTGAGGTTTTAGGGAGGTGAACTGGTCGAGTATGGAAGGAATTATAACAAATGAATCAAAGTGGAAATTGTGTTTGCTGTTGTCTTCCCACCAGATGGCAACCCTACACAGCCTAAGCCCAAAGCCTCTGAAACCACTGTGGAATCCCAGACAGACCAGTCTGATCCGTTTTCCAGTGCCTAAGCTTCCATTGTAACCTTCTGCCTTGAGAACGGTCATGGCAGCAAAGGGTCTAAATGGTGGAGGATTGAGGGAAGACTGGGAAAGGGTTCGACTTACACAACTGTAGGTCTCGTTCAACTCCAAGCAGATGCCCTTCGATGCTTGTACTTGCTTGATTTTTAAGCATCTGATGTGTTTCTAGGGAGCAAAACCCCCACAAAATAAGTCAGTATGCCCATGACCTCTCGCTCCTCCCCCGCATCCATCCATCTTTAACGCCGCCCTCCTCCTTTGCCCAATTTGGTTCCTGGTGATGTCTCTTCCTCTTCAGAAGTTTGATAGAAGTGAATCTTTAAATTAAAATTTATTTTTGAATTATTATCCATAAACTTTGATTATCTGTTACTCTCTACTCCACTGTCCCCTGTCCCCATCCCCATCAGATTAACCAAGGGTAGCTCTACTGGTCTAGGCCTGAAAGCAAGGAACTATATGGCAAACAATTGCCATCTTTAGCCAAGTGGTATCTTTGCAGAGTGGAGCCCCTGATGATCCCATCCCACAACCAAGAGGGATGGAAAGCTACCATACCTTCCTTCAACGATGTCTTGGATTCCTATTCTAGTTCTCAATCAATCAACCAACCAATCAACAAGCATTTATTAAATTATCTCCCACCATGCAAAGCTTCTTAACCTTTCAAGACTTATCCCCTTCTTATTGATAGCCACAGACTCTGAAGCTGGAGATCAAACTGAGCTTATCCCCCCAAATCAGCCTTGTTCCCATTATCATCTGGCTCTACCACAACTTGGCCTAGACCAGAAAGAATACCACTGGTTCTGGGCAGTTTGTGGACCTGTAAATTAGCCTCAGGAAACTTCTCACAGGGCTTCCATTGACTTCCCAAAGCAGAAATAGCAGAACCTTATAGCTGGAAGAAGCTTAGAGTTCATGGCAAAGGGGGTTGGGAGAGTGGGTTTTATAATTTGTTCTGCTGTGTGATGAGGCAAGTCACTTAACCCTGAGCCTCAAGTCTGCCCATGTACGTCAGCAAAGAGCTACAGCCCAGCCTGACAGGGGCATGAGGGCAAAAGCTCCCATGATGGCTTTGAGATCTATGAAAGTGAAAAGGAGGTGGTCAGGTTCACTGGGGATATTTTCCACTGAGCCCCTTGGTCCTCTGGACAACCAACGGGAGCAGTCATGATACTGCATAGCGTAGCTTATAGCTGAAGAAGGATGGACTTGTAGCCAAAGGATCATGGTTAAAATTCCACTTCTGCCACTAACTGTAAGGGTCACCTTGGGGAAAAAACTTCTTCTCAGTTGCTTCATCTGAAAGATAAAGGATTTGAACTACATAATGCCTAAGGTCCATCATACTAACTGGGCCAAATGGAACTCTAAAAAGGGTGTTTTTGTCTCTTCTCCAAGCAAGGCAATTCTGGGTTCCGTTGTTCAGAAATAGAGCCTGATCCTCAAGGCTCTAACACAACGCTGTTCATATCTGGAGATACTGACTTCTAAACGGACTGGGTCAGAACCATGCTGTGTGTATATTCCTGTTCTCTCTCCTAGCGACTCTTTCTTTCTTGTATTTCCTAACATCTCTCCCACTCCTGCCCTGGCTACCCAAAAGAACAAGAGCAGAGATGGTCTCAGTTTTGTCATCATTTCCCCAGCACTTAGCACAGTGCCTGGCACACAGTAGGCACTAAATAAATCCTAAATCCACATTCAGTCTTCACTCTCCCTGACCCTCCCCCCTCGCAATATCCAATCAGGTGTCAAGTTTTTCTTAATTCTACTTCCACCATATCTTTTCCTTTTCTACTTTCACTCTACAACCAAAGCTAGTTCAGGCTATCACATCTTTCTGGACCTGTAGCTTCTGAATTAGTCTCTCTATATATAATCTCTCACCTTCAAAAACCCAAATGCCAAAAACGATGTTTCTAAAGCATAGGTCTATACTACTGTGCTATAAGAAATGATGAAGAGGCTGATTTCAGAAAAAACCTGGAAAGACTTGTATGGTCTGATGCTGAGTGAAATGAGCAGAACCAGGAGAATGTTGTACATAGTGACAGCCACGTTGTGTGATGACTAATATTGATAAACTTAACCCCTCCCAGCAATACAAGGATCTAAGACATCTCCAAAGGCCTCATGATGGAAAATGCCATCCACATCCAAAGAAAGAACTATGGAATTTGAATGCAGATCGAAGCATACTATTTGCTATTTTTTTCCTCTTCTGTTGAGTTTTGTTTCCTCTTTCTGGTGGTTCCTCCTATTGGTTCTAATTCTTACTTACAACATCACTAATGTGAAAATATGTTTAATAGGAATGTATATGTATAGCCTATATCAGATTGTGTGCCATCTTGGGGAGGGTGGTGGGAAGGAAGGGGGAGGAAAATTTTAACCTCAAAAGCATATGGAAGTGATTGTTGATAAAATAAATTTTAAAAAATGTAATTGGGAATAAAGCATAGGTCTGACCATGCCTGTCAAGAATCTTCAATGGATCCCTCTTACCTCTAGGATCAAACATTAAGGGGGTTCTTCTAGTTTAGCCCTTTACTATCTGGCTCTGGCCCACTTGTCTTTGAAGGTAGGGACTGATTGGTTTTTGTCTTTGTATTCCCAGCACCTCACACAACACCTGGCACACAGAAAGTACTCATTATCATTAATTGCATACCTAGAATTCACTCCTTCCTCTCCTCCACCTCTGGGAAATCCTCATTTCCTTCAAGATTCAGCTCAAATGCCACCTTCTTCATGAAGCCTTTCCTGTTTCTACCCCATCCCCACCCCCATTCAGGTGCTAGTGAGCTCCTCCACAAATAACTTTGTATTCATTTTATATATATATATATATATATATATATATATAGCATGTCCCAAAAGTCTTAGTGCAACTTTAACCTTTAATAGCTAATAATAGCTTTTAAATTAATTAGTTAAATTTAATAAATAGCTCAAAGCTGCACTAAGACTCTCGGACACCCAATATTATGTACATGTTTTCCCAATTAAAATGTAAGCTTTTTGAGAGTGCTTCCTGCTTTACTTTTGTCTTTGTATCCATAGGGATTACTTCAGCGCCTGGCACATAGTAAACAATTAATAAATGCTTGTTGATTGATGGCCGGATTGATTATTGATTGATTGATTGATTTCACCTACCTCAATTATAACTGGGACCACACTAGTCAGCAATGGTTCTGTAGAAATGGTTGTAGGGTTGGTACCATTGGTGAGTGGACTTGATGTGGTCTCAGACACGCTGGTCATCACTGTCTCCTCTGGAGAAGATGAATTGGCTATTGTCAGGTTGGTGGGCACCGTGGTGACTGGAAGGATCTCATTTTGGGCAGAGGTGTTCACAGCTCCAGAGGTTAGGCTGACTCCAGAGGTAGATGTGCGATTCCGAGTTTCAGGCTCTGAGGTTTCTTGCATGTATTAAGACATATGGACACACACACACACACACACACACACACACACACACACACACACACACACGCAGAAAAACTCTGATTATAATCCTCAAATATAATGCTGACCAAAAGGGCAGGGAGCATAAGTAGTGACATCTAGTGACAATTATTCCCTCCCTGTCCTCAACTCTTCTTTTTTAGGGGCTATACTGGCCCCAAATCCATCTCAGTACTTTTAGGTACAATTTAAAGCATTTCTTGGAATACTCTTGGGATTTTCAACCTAAATCAGACTGCTGACCACCAAGGTCACTTTAAGGCACCAAGCCCAAGGCCCCTGGACCAAGGATGACCATGTGTATTCAAACTGGTCCAGGTCAGATCCCCACTGCAAAACTAAACTGAGTACAGTTTGGGATAAGAGGTCATTTGTACTTGACTTATTGGTTCTCCTCCTGGTCTCCGGGAGTGTTCAGGGATAGCCCAGATTAATGATTCACTTTGGGACATCCTAAATCCCTACTGTCTACGTGATCTAAGGCAATGATATCAAACCAAAATAGAAACAGGGCCTACTAAACCATACCTAAGGATCCCTAAAGGACTCCCATGAACTCAGAAAACCCATATATTAATATTTATCTATGTTTTATTGAAGCAACTAGGTAGTGCAGTGGATAGTGTTGGGCCTGGAGTCAGGAAGACCTGAAATCAGATTCAGCCTCAGACATCAGCTGTGTGACCTTGGACAAGTCACTTAACCTGTTTGCCTCAGTCTCCTCAACTGTAAAATAGGCACTTACCCATTATTCGCCCTGTAAAATAACAGTACCTACTTACAGGGTTGTTGTGAGGATCATAATACAAATGAAACAATATTTGTAATGTACTAAACTATGTGCCATATAAATGCTTCCATCCCTCCCCTTACTATATTTTTTATCAATTTTGTTAAATATTTCCTAATTACATTTTAACCCATTAGAGTGTAAGCTCCTTGAGGTCAGGACTGCCTTTGTCTCTTTTTGTATCCACAGTGCCTGGCGCACAGTGCCTGGCACACAGTAGATACTTAATAAATGTTTTATTAGTTGATCTGGTTTTGGGTACCTCAGGAATGTTGTGGGTACATTCGGTCAAGGCCAGTGTTTGATACCCCTGATATAAGGGGCTATAATTCCCAAACCAGCATGGAGAGAGTGCAGTTCTCTCTAACTGGTCTAGATGACTCCATTTAGCCTGGAATGGTACAGAGGAGCGAAGGGGGTAGCTCTCTTCTAAGGAATTTGCACAAGCATTTGAGGGGTTGCCAGCAGGTCAGATGTCCTTACCTGGGTTAGGTGTGGTTGACTGTGTACTCCCTGTAGCTGTGCTGCTCTTCGGGGAAGTGAAACTGGGACTGGGGCTGGAGCTGGGGCCACGGCTGGGGCTTGGACTGGCGGTGGTATTCCTAGGGGTTTCTTTAGTTGTTCCTTTCCATGGAGAAGTGGTAAGACTTAAGTCATTCTCTGGCCGCACGGTCTTTTCTTGATGGTTAATATTTTCAGCTGCTGCTCCTCCTCGGGCTTTGGGAACAATCAGAAGTTAGAATCTCTATACTTCGAGGAAGTTGATCTAGCCTTCTGTGGCCCAGCAGAATCCCTCCACTTATGCCCTAACCTCCATGCACTAGTCAGCAAGTAATCATCTCCACTCAACTTCTCCCCAGACTGTTTCTAATGAGTCTGACTCTGCCATCTTACTCCAAAAAATCGCAGAAAGTTGTAAGTGAAAGGATGCTAGGCTATTAGCTCATAGGAGATCTAGAGCTGAAACATCCAGTCCTATCCTTTCATTTTACAGACAAGGAAACTGAAGCCCAGGTCACACAGGTAGTGAGTGTCAGAGGCAGGATTTATATGCAAATCCTCTGAATCCACAGCCTGTGCTCCCAGGATACCTGAGAGGACATCTCACCAAAATTCTCCGCTAAGAAAAACGCCCAAGTTGGTGAATCTCAACCCCTCAGAATCTGCATTTTTTTCTTTAAATATTTTTTATTGATCTTTTGTTTTTATATCACCAAAATTTTCCCCTGCATCCCTTCCTCTCTCTCCTAGAAAACATAATATAAAAAGGGCTATTTTTAAAAAGAAAAAGATCAAGGAGAGGAAAAAAATCAGCAAAGCTGATAAATATATTGAAAAAATCTGAAAACATATGTGATGTTCCACACTATAGCCTCCCACCTCTGCAAAGGAGTTGGTGGGGGAAGGGAAAGGTTTCTTCTCACACCTCTTATTTGGGGCCAATCTGCATCTTTTTTTTTTTTTCTAAGGAAGCTACTGTTACCAGCTCCTTGGAGCTTTTCCCTGATCCTACCCCACCCCAAGTTTTTTTCCTTCTTAAATTAACTTGTATTTCCTTATCTGTTTTCTATTTCCCCAGCAGAATATGGGCTCCCTGAGATCAAAGAATCTTCCCCCTTTTTGTCTTTGTATCTCCAGTGCCTAGTTAAGTGCCTCGCACATAGCAGATACTTAATTAAGGTTTGATGAACTGAAATGAATTAATCTGATCTCTGGGCTCATACATTATATACAGTTTCCATAATCCTTAGCTCTTTATCTATCTCTCCCCTCACCAGCCCTCATTTTCTGATCTTTCCTTTTTTTGGACTCTAAATCCATTCTCTTTCCCTTCAGGGCACACAGCCCTAAAGATTCCCACCTCTTACCCCCATGAGCCAGGAAGCACAGAGGGAGCCGATCTAATAACTTTTCCGGGCCTTAGTTATTTTCTAAAGATATTCTGTCTCCCTAGCCCAGGTAACGAGGATGAGGAAAGTATGGTGTCGAGGAGCTCTCACGACCTTAGAGGCCAACAGTAGAGAAACCTGAAGAAGGACTCAAGGCAAAAGGGGAACCCCAGAGTCCCAGATTACCCCCCTGAGCCTGACTCTCTGTGCTGTCCTAGCCAGCCAGCACAGAGCACTTGCTGGGCCCATCTCACCATGGATCTCAGAGTAATTCAAAGGCTAGAATTAAGCTTTATAACACCTGCCTAGAAAGAAAGGATGACATCTTTGTTTACAGATGATAAAACCAGAGCTGGAGGGAGTCTCTCTTTCCCTGCCCCAACCCAACTGCCCAGGCTCAGCTGAGAGAAATCTCCCATTCTGCCTCTGCAGAAATAAAAAAATCATAGCATGTTAGAGCCGGGTGGGATGTTAGAGATATAGTTCAACCCCCTTATTTTACAGATGAAGAAATTGCAGTCCACAACAGCAAAGTGATTTCCCTATCCCTGAAATTCTTACCTTACCTTGGCCAGGTCCTGCTCTCTCCACACTGTGACAGCCTCCTTCTACAGCCCTTGCCCCCATTTTTCCCCAAAATGGACTTGCTGATATTACCAGCCAGAAATCTTATTCCTAGACAATGAAGGATTTGAATACAAAACCCAGAGAACAGAGACTACCTCCTGTGACTATACTGCTCCCATCTTGGACACATTTCTCACAATGTCGTATCAGAGCCTGGGTGACTCTGTTATTAACTGACTGTCATAGATACTGTAACCTATTGATTAGATAATAATAATTATTAGGATGGAAATAATATTTCCTAATATTACAGCAAATCCTCCTCCGAAATTTCCCTCTCTTGCCCCCTCTTGGGCATGGAGGAGACCCTGGATTCTTAGAAGCTATGCTAACAGAGGATGAGTTCAGCTGGGTCCTCTCAAGCCAGAAAGGCTTCAGGTATGGGCTAAGCAATGGGCTGCATGTCATCTGTTATCTAGAAAAACAGTTTAGTTTTGTTCATTGAGACTCATCACCTTTTGGTGGTGTGTGTTATGTGTTTGAATCGGAGCAACTCATGAATACCATCTAATAAAGCACAGATCCCCATATGGGATCACAGAATTCAGAACTGGAAAGGCCAGGTCAACTCCCTCATTTTACAGATGAGGAAACTGAGGCCCAGACAAATGAAGTGACTTGCCCCTGGTCACAACATGAAGTACGTAGCAGATCCAGGATCCTGTAATTACATGTTGAGGGATGGCCCATACTGCTGGAATCACAGCTGTTTTGAAATATTAAAAGAAATCCCAAAAGGGCCATTTGTGATACCCATAATCCCTGCTATGAGGGGAGGCTGAGGCTGGTGGATTACTTGAACTCAGGAGTTCTGAGCTACAGTGTGCTAGAGTCAATCTAGTGTCCACACTAGGTATGGTACCAATATAGTGAGCTCCAAGGGGCAGAGGGCCAGCAGGCTGCCTGAGGAGGGGTCAGTGGCTCAGGTGAGAAACACAGCAAGTCACTGGGATCAGGCCAATGCACTTCCTGCCTGACCAAGATAGGTAAACCCATTCTCAAAAGGAAAAAAAAAGTACAATTAAAAACACCTACTTTCATTTAGTTGGTATATCTTGTCTGTTTTTTACTTTGAAAAATAAAAGCTTTAACCCCTTTAAAATTTATCCTCACAACAGCTTTGAATTAATTTTGGGAAGAAATAGCCTAATTTTATCGGTGAAAAAACTGAGGCATATGATGGGAAGGACTTAGGTCAGTGAAAAGCTATGGGTCTTGCCTGTTGAATGATGCTGTTAATGCTCCACTTCCTTGGAATAAGAGTCAATGGGATCGATGCTACGAACTTTGCCCCTTGGAGAGTTGGTGGCAAGGGGTCCAGGTTGGAACTGAAGCCCTTGGAATCTGGCTGCTTTTCTGTCATCCTTTGTGGGGCTGGGGTCAAGGTCAGGAAGTACATAAAAAAGGAAACCACTGCTTCCAGATTGGGAGGCAGGTGGTAAATGGTTAGCAAGCCTCTGCCCCACTCCTCAGTCCCTTCTTTCTCTACAGAAGTCTGACCAATCTAACCTAGAAAGTATGAATTTGAAAAGGCAGCCCTTCTGCACTCTCCCCCCCCCCCCCCCCCTCCACCCCAGGACCTTCCTGGTTCCCGGGAATCTCTTTTGGCTCAATTTTCTCTTTCTATAAAGGAAGCTGGGCCACGCTGCAGTGATGTCATACTTTGAACCCCTTCCCCCAAGGGGCCTTCTTCAACTCAGACAAACACTTCTGAACTTTTCCAGATGTTGAGAGAGAGAGAGAGAGAGAGAGAGAGAGAGAGAGAGAGAGAGAGAGAGAGAGAGAGAGAGAGAGA